TAAATCAGACAGTTTAAACTTGAGATGTGAACAGAACGGTCTCATAAGTGCAAAGTTGCTTGTGAAAAGTGAAAAAGTGAAGCCTCTCGAGCCAGCGGACGTGACACAGTCACATCTTCAGTCAAGCTATTGGCTTGAAGTAATCTTGAGTGCATCTTTCCTGCTCATTTGAATTCGAATGTCACTATAAAGCTAATCGATCTCATTCCCTAGAGATCGATTTTGCAAAAATGTAAAGGAATCGATTCAAAATGGATTTTTTTTTTTTTACCCAGCCCTAGCTACAAGCCATGAATGGGACACGGTGAGGTAGGAACCCTTATGAAACCTCCTAATGGCAGATAATGCTGTGAGGGAGATGAATGGAGGGTCATTTTTACTACAACCTGTTGAAAGGGAGGAAAACCCTTCACCCTGTGGGCCAGAGGTTCATCTCCCAGCAGGACAGTGACCTGAAACAATCCAACCTTTCCCCCTGACCTGAATCTAGTGATTTGCAAAGGTTTCTAGATCTGCAACACTGGCAACAATTTACCCCAAAATGGAAAAAATGAATAAAAATACGTAGCTCTAAAAGACCAAATGATAAAAAAAAAAAAACACTTTCGTTTTGTCCGTCTGTGGCGAAAACAAACAACATACTGGATGGTTTCTGTTTGCTCAGTGACGAAGCATGAGAACCTTGGAGGGGCAGCAACATATTAGTATGTTGCTCATTGTCGTTTAGGTGAAGCCATGCAGCCCTTTTGTTGAGTGAGTCACTACTTATCAGCAGTGAGTGCAGCTGGGTCAAAGCACTGAAAAGGGAAGATCTGTTCTGTGCTGGAAATGCCTCGTCATCTTATCTGACTGGGCGGCTTTGGCTTAGTTCCTCATCGTTAAGGTTGAATTTTGGATCTGAATTTAAAAAAAGCCCTGGACTAATATCCATTCCTGTTTCTGAGGAAAAAAGGAAACAGACATGGCTCTGTTCCATCATTCTCTTAAACGGGGTGAGCTTCAGATGATGCAACAAAAGCTGGAGGGTGGGAGGAGGAAGGTCTGCAAGACGAGTGCGGTGTCCTGCTCCTCTCTGTTTTCTTAAAGCAGAAAGCTTTGCACGTGATTGCAGCAAAGCCGTTCAGGTCAGCTGACCGGCATTAGCGGCTCTGCAGGAGGAAACAGAATCACTCTGATTCAGACTGTTTTAGGGCCAGTGGTGCAACAGGAACCTATCATGACAAGCTGTTATGTAAAAAAGAGCAGTGGCGTTGCTAGCGCCTGTGGTTACGTTGGCTACAAACCTGTGTTGTTGCTTCATTCCAGCAGTAATTCACCGCTTTCTTTGTGAAAGCGTTTGCTCACTCCTGCTTAGATGTAGCTCCTGGCTCAGCATGCCTAAACTGTCACAGATCAGCTGGCTGGAGCTGCTAGCTGCTGGCCTTTCATCACTCTTTGTTTTCTTATAGCAGCCATTCTTTCCTCAGGCTAGAGTCTTTCAACATCAGTCATCAACTTATGTGTAAAAATAAGCTGCAGTTCTTAGCTTTTTCTATTGTTCAAATTTGGCAAACTTGAAGATTAGTACAACCAGTATTTACAAAAGGTATTACCGGAGCGCAACGTTTTCATACCTGCATTGCTTCAGATGTTGGAAAGATCTCAAATATTTCTCTTGTTTTTGTCTCTGGTGCAGAACTCTGGAATTGAGAGCCTGGTTGAGGAGCTCTGCTCCAAACTTAAGGACATCCAAAACAAACAGAAAGGTATGAAACTGATATTCCTTCTTCAAGTTTTGTTGAAGCTAAGAAACATACAGCTAAACTGTTACTAAGATGTTTTTCATTCATTGTCCAGAAGAGAAACGGATTCAAAAGAAATCGGATGGCTGTCAGTCACCAGAGCGTGCCGAGTCACCCTCTTCTAAGGACCAGGTGGAAATGTAAGTTAGCACAACAGAACAGATCCATAAAGCCGGGCATACTTGGTACGATTTTTTTCAAGCATTGCACGCAGCTACAGCTCACAATGTACGACGAAACTGCAAGGTTTCGTCGTACAGTTTGAGTTCACAGCTCAAAATGTATGTTCTCACACGACATGACGCTCTGATGCGATCTACCTGCTCTCACTGTACGGCTAAAAACCACGTTGAAAGCTCCGCAGTGAGATGGCGCTACTCCGACTCGTCTATCCAGAATCCAAACGATTAGAAGACAAACATACTCATTCCATTGGCAAACTATCTCATTTACCTTCTCAAATTAACTACTTAACATTTTTACTTATTTCTAGATCGTTTTTTTCCAGTGTGCCTTCTGTTAAATATGAAGCTAACTAGAGTGAAACGCGCTGCCTTGGCAATTTGTGCGATTTTTGGCGCTAAAAGCCTTAAAAAGAAAAGGTGACGATGTATTTAGTCAAAGACATGGTTGAGCAAACGTGGCTACTACGGTCTGTCAACTTTACGGAAATAACTTCATTTCACCCGCATGCCCACCGAGCGATTTGCTTACGATGGCCGACTGAATTTCAAGCGTTTGATTTTCTGCCGACCCTACGATTCCTGATCGGGAGGCGGTCGTGAGAGGCTGATCTCCTGTCGTTACCCCCCCATACACTACATGACGTACAATCAGGCTGAAAGTCGGCCTGATAGAAAAATTCTCGCACAACTGGACAATTTCCCCGAAAAGGGCAAAAAAATCGTACCATATATGCCCAGTTTAAGAAACTATGAGCAGGTCGCAGAAAAAAATTATCCAAACCAGATTTTTCTAAAGTAAATAGTAAAGTAAAGTAAAGTTCTTTGAATGAAAGAATATTTTCTGGTTTCAAACTCTCTAATAATCCAGAGAACGCGTCATAAAGCTCGGTACCATTGCGGCTGATGGACATTTCCATCAGCAGTCTCTTTACAGATTAAAATGTTTAAAAGCGTCATTGTCAAGTGAGTTCTGTTCCATTATTGTTGCAAGCAAATAGCTTTCCATAGAGAAATTTGAAAAACACATTTTTTAAATTGAAACTAGAAAAATTCAATCCAGAAATAAAACCTTGAAATATGTTTTAATTTAAAAAAGGGTTTTTAGCATAATTTTGCCGTTTTGGAGAGTTTGCTTTCTCAAAAACTTCTTTTACAGTTTTTATTCTCAAGATTTTCTTTTTTTTTTTTTTTTTACAGATTTAATATTTGCTTTCTTTTTAATCAAACTTTTCTTTTTCAAATCAAGTTTTACAAATTTCATTCTTTTCAATTTGCATTTTCAAGGCTTTCCGCGATAGTGAGGAGCTAAGACATTTCTATTGGTCAGTGTGTAGCTCAAGAGCATTTGAATTGGGCTTAAAGTCAAGAGAAGGTGATTTGAAAAGAATTAAATTCATAAAACTCAGATCAAAAACATAAAATCAGTTTAAAAAAGGTTTTGATAAAATATTTGAAAACATAACATTTGAAAGAATAACATTGGGGGAAAAAATTAGATCTGGAATACATTTTTTTTTTCTCTTCAAATTTCCATTTATATAACCTGTTCTTTGCTTTCAGCAATGATGGAGCAAAATTAAATCTATACATCCTTAAAATGTTTTGCCATATCCTCAATAGGAGCAAAATAATAAATTTCGATACTTTATGGATTTTCTACATGTTTTGGATCTTTTCCTTTTGTTTAGCAATAATGAAAACTTTATTAAAGTATTTCGATAAACTGGAGTTCAAGATTTCTTCAAAAGAGTAGTTTTCAAGTTTACTTTGCAATGAATGTAAAATTTGATCAATTTTAGATGAACTTCAGTACATTTCTTATCAATGTTAATTGCATTATTTATAATCTATTATTTTAGCTTGTTAGCATTATATTCTTGTAAATATATTTAAGGCATGAAACCTGATAAAGTTTGATAAACTTGTTACAATTGAGCCGCCTTTTCTGTTTCTCATGTGACTGCAGGTATTATGAAGCATTTCCCCCTCTGTCCGAAAAGCCTGTTTGTCTCCAAGAGATCATGACGGTGTGGAACAAGGCCAAGGCCTGCACTTACTCCAGTTCATCATCCTCTGCAGCTCCACAAACCAGCACAGACACATCTTCCCCCAAAGACTGCAACAGTGATGGTGAGGCTGCTAAAGAGCGAAACCTGGAGGCGTGTAGTACCATCCCTACTGCGACCAGTGAGAGAGGTCATCAACGCCGGGGCAAGAAGGAGAAAGAAAACCGAGGCCATGGCGGTGCGGCAGCGGAGGAAAAGTCCATCAGCCACTCCAAGAGACAGATGAGACACAGATCTGAAGGCAAATACCGACCCAGATCCTGGTCTTCTGGTTCCAGCGAGGAAGGCTCCAGCTCCAGTGGGAACCAGGCTGACACGAAATCATCCAGAAGCAAAACCGTTAGAGTAAGGCACAAATCCAGGGAGGCTGCAAAGAACAAGAAGACACGCAACAACGGGCAGGTGAAGCTGCAGATGAAGGTTGGCGATAAGGAGGAAAGAAGAAACGCGGGGGTGCGCGGTAGCAGCGCGACTGGCGGAGCTGCTAAACAACCACAGCTTTACAAGAGAGGAAAGAGGCCGCTAAAGGAGATTCGTAAAGAGCTTGGCTGGCTGGAAGTCAGAGAGTCTGCAGTGGAGGCTAGAAACAAAAAGGAGTACAAGGAGGAGCCGCTTTGGTACACTGAGCCCATCACTGAGTACTTTGTACCATTCAGCAGCTGTCAAAGTAAGCTGGAAACAAAATATCGCAGCAAGGTTAGCTCTCCTGATGGCTTCGGCTTCTCTGCAGATATGGACAGGCTACCAGAAAAAATCCAGGGAATCTGCATCGCCAGCGAGAACTACCAGCGGACCTACTTAGCGGCGGGCTCGTTTGTGGACGGGCACTTTGTGGAAGCGTCCGGCGACGCGGACGATGAAGCTGCTGACCTCAATGAAACTTCCTGCTGCCCTCAGCCAGAAGATAGTAGAGATTTAGATGACAAGCATCTGTCTGAATTCACCGACTTCTATGAAGTTGACATTTATCAATCCATATTGGATACTAGTGCCTCAGATGCGATACAAGAGAGTCGGATCTTAAGCCTGATTCGACAGAAAAGCAAAGAACAAGGAGAAAACGAGGCAGAATGCTGTTTGGTGTTAGACGGCCTTGAGCAGCAAGGGGGAAGTGCAATACAGGCAGAGTCACAGGAAGCTTCGGGAACCGTTGGGTTTCTAATGGACGACCTTGAAAACATGGTACAAGTGTGGGGCTGTTACTCACAGTCTTCTTCCGAAGATGTAGATGGCGAAGGTTTCCTCGGAGATTCTCCTGTTCGGCTCTCTCCTCTGCTGGACAGTGTCTCATTGACCCTGAGCAAGCTCTCTAGACCTCTGGAAGAACCGCCAGTACCTGAAGCTCCCAGCGAGCCATCCGGATTGGATCCATTCTGCTTCCCTCTTTTCAAGGTCCAGTGCGACAGTGCCACCTTCCCTTTCCCCCGCGACTCGCTTTCTGTCGGTCACGAAAACATCCCCATCTCTAGTAGCGGTCTCGACCCGCATTCTAACAAACAGTCCCGCTTGCTGATATGGACCAAAAATAGTGCCTTTGACGAAACGGAACACTGTTCTAACCTATCGACGCGAACCTGCAGTCCGTGGTCCCATTCGGAGGAGACTCGGTCGGACAATGAACAGGGATATGCTCTAGCAGAGGACGCTGCTCAGATTGGCCGAGACGAACCGGACCGAGTGATCCCTCCTCTTTCGGGTACATATCTAGAAGATGAAATATTGGAGTTTTTGCAAGAGGACTCAAGCAAAAAGAATGAAAAAATTTGCGTTAGCACAGCACCCAATCAGACCTTTACCAAAAAGTCCAAATTGGAGTCCGTTTGCGGCATAGCGCTAGAGAAGGACGACGGCAAACAGTACAGCACAGACATGTTTTCAGACAACGCAAACCAACAGAGTGACGATTACAGCTCAGGGATCATAAAAGACATTTGGACCGCAATCGGAGACAGGAAATCTGCCGCGTCAAAAGACGGAGCAGAAAAGCCAAGCGAGGGACTCTTTTCAGACGAGTCGGGCACTTGCTGTTGCCGGTGTCCAGAGGTCCAGACAAAAGGCGTTCCGGTTCAGGGGCCTCAGAAAAAAGCTGTGCAGCGATCAGAGTATCGGCTCTGGGAAGGCAAGAAAGAAGAACAGGACTTAGCCAAAAACAAACTCTCCAAAGTAGATGCCGCTGGGGATTACATGACTCCGTCCAAGCCTTGGGACTTGAACTCTGACAAGGAAAGTACATCGTTCATCCTTGGAGGGGTGTATGGAGAGTTGAAAACACTAAGCGGCGATAAGAACTGGGCCGTCGTGCCACCGAGTGATACTCAAGAGAGCTTGCTACAGTGCACCACTGCGGCCGCTTCCAGCTCAGACATGCTCACCATCACTGGCAGAGATGTGTTCATGAACGCAGGCAGCTGCTTCGCGCCCGGACACCGGCCCCTATGGAGGCCCCTCGTTTCATTCGGGCAGAGCGATCAGGCCATCAGGGGAGGCGGTGATGGATTGAATAAGGGATTTTCTTTGATCTTCCATGAAGATTTGCTTGGATCTTACAGCAGCTTGCGTAGAGACGAGCAAGATTTAGAATATCCGTTTGCATCCTTTAACCTGAATAACCCCTTCTCTCAAGTCCTCCACGTCGAGTGTTCGTTTGAGCCTGAGGACATGGCTACTTTCAGTCCGGGATTCAAGCCCAAATCCATTCTTTGCTCTGATTCCGAGAGCGAAGCCTTCCAAACTCGACTCTACGGCATCAATCGGACGCAGTATAGAGCCATTCGCATTTCACCCAGGACTCATTTCCGACCAATATCAGCCTCAGAGTTGTCTCCAGTTGGAGTTAGCGACTCGGAGGCCGAGACTGACAAAGAGGAGATGAGTTTTCCCGTAGTGGCGCCAGTGGACGTGTTTGATGATCCTCAGGCCGACCTCAAACCTCTGGAGGACGACGCAGAGTGTGAGGGGCCTTATTACGGGAAGTCAGAACTGGAATCTGGTAAATTTTTACCCAGATTAAAGAAGTCTGGCATGGAGAAGAGCGCCCAGACTTCTTTGGATTCACAAGAGGGTTCAAGCACGCTTCTGCCGATTGCCGAGCAGGAGAGCGGCTTGAGCTGCAAAACAGCCGCGTCGAGCGCAGGCGGACAGGCGGATGTGGACAGGACTCAACCGGAAGAATCTTCAGAACCGAAGCAGTCCAATTTATGTTCACCAGCTGGTCAGATCCCCAAGTATGGGATTGCCTACGACTATGTTGGCGACATGCCAGAGGTAAGGATATCTTGGAAGTTCTTAACCCAGTTGTTGCAGATGGCGTAGTGGTGAATTTTTTCCAGAATCGTTGATCTGTGCTTCTTCTTTGTCTTGTCCAGTTTCCTCTGTTAAACAGAAGCGGGCAGGGAGGAATGGGCGGCCAGCAAGACGAGTTCTGGTGGCAGAACACTATTTGTTCACCCCTTTTCCCTGGATCTCAGTGTACAGGTAGGTCCAAAACATGATACCTTCTTTAACATAACTTCACATCATTAGCAATAAAATTCATTGTGGTTGGAAAAGCTTTCCCATGTCATGAGATTTGAAATATTTTCTTACATATTCAGAGTAGAGGGAGACTGATGCATTGGCCAGATGATATTTTCATATTTTTTTTTGTGTTGGCTGATTCATTAGTGCTTTTAGCAGCGATGCCTTACCCCCAGATACCACATACTCCGTCACAGCCCCCCTCGCCTCTTCTCCGTACTTCACCGTAAAAATACGGAGTCAAGCTATTTTTTTGCTCCGCTCTGGCCAGGGCAAGATCCGCAATTGCAATCGCACCAAACAGGACAAAGAACGGCGAGAAGATCCGGTTTGACAAGTTATAGTAACGATAGATCGGTAACTACAAATTAGAGCATAATTCTTATAAATTCCCAAAATCAAAGGACGTTTAATTAAATGATTGGATGCAAACTATCGGTGCTTCAACATACCAGGAAGCAGATTTCTCATCTCAATCAAAATATTAAGGAAACTTCTTGTTGTCTTGCATGGATGAAGAGATGCTGAGTTTGGAAGTAGAGAAAAAACTGTTTATAAAAACTATGTATGATCCTAGTTATCCCTGTTACAATAATCCACAACAAAAAGAAAATATTTGGGCAGAAACTGCACACATGCTGGATACTGATGGGGAGTTTTTTAATGTGTCATATTAAATTAAGCTTTCATTTCCACATGTTTTGCTCCTTTTAATTTAAGAAATAATATCATGCATGCTCTCCTCGAGCTCCAAGGATGTCGGAGCGGAGCAAGACGGGAGGAACAGCGGAGGATGTAGGCTTTGTTTAGCACAGGTGGTCTGGAGTTTCGGGCTTAAGGTCAATTATTGGTGTTTGCATTGCAAATGCCTGCATTTGCTGTCCACTTTTCTTTGATGCATTAGAAAATTATTCATTTCATGTAACATTTGTTATCATTGTATCGTTTTGATTATGGCCTCAAGAATCGCTTCCCAAAACATACGGCAGCACTTTCATTTCAAAAACCCGTTGATCTCTAATTCAGAGTAACGGCTTCAGTTTTCCTGTGAAATCAACACAATTATCTGACTGTTCACCCTTTAAGGTTTTGTTTTAACATATATTTTTTTACCTTTAATAAACTGGCCTTAATAAAGCATAATCCCATGCTGTCAGGTATTTATCACTATGAAAATAAAAATATCTGCCATAACGGGCATGACCTAAACTGGCTTAGCTCTTTATTGTGGGACACTAAAATGTTAAGATATCCTGGGCGACGATCTTAGATCAAAAGTAGATTTAATTTTTAATCAAGTTCCTAATTTGGTTCCAGTGCACTTTGTTCTACTTCATACTTGGTAATTATATGCTGCTTGTTTTGTTTTATTTTTATTTCCCAAGACTTTGAACAGCAGATTCATAAATGTTGCACTAAAATAAGAACTTGCTTTCATGCTGCCCCATAGTGACATCTAGTGGTCATATCGGGTTTTACAAGTTGCATTTTATGCAAAATGCAGGTAACAAAATATATTTTTTATCAACAAATATGTACAGAAATAAAAAGAAATGGAAAAAGAATTTAATTAAAAAAATCTAAACTAAATTTTTCTCTGAACCCTTTGAATGTTAAAGATCACTGATAAAGGTGCCTTAATGAGATAGTTGATGTAAGATTAGAAGAGAGGTTTGCTCATCTCAGTTCATTTCCTCTTATCGCTATTTAATTCTTTACATTTATCCACAACATTTAAGGAAACGGTGGAAAAACATAAATTGTTCAGTAGTTCTTGAATTAGGCCACAACAAATACAGCAGTACTCAACATTAATATTTAATCACCGATCAAGATTGAATATATCTTGTTTATAATGTCATAAGATACTACTTTGATTTTCATTAAGAAAAAAAAAATTTATTATTAACCCCATTTTATTCCACGGTCCTTAAAATGAAATGACAAAAAAAGTAAGCATAAGGAAGCGTTACATGTACCAAGAGATTTCTGATGTTAATTAGCTCAGTTATAGATCCAATAAGAGCTGCAAGATGTTCATTTGGAAGCAATATCAGATTTAGAAATAAATTCTTTAAAAGGTAAATTAGACCATTCAATTCAATTTAGTTTATTTCTATAGCGCCAATTCACAACACAAGTCATCTCAAGGCCCTTTACATTTCAACCAGTCAAATTGATTCAAAGTTTTTTATCTAAGGAAAGCCAGTTGATTGCATTGACTCTTCAGCAATAGCTCACACTAAGCATGCTTGTAGCGACAGTGGAGAGGAAAATCTCCCTTTTAACGGGAAAAAAACCTCCAGCAGAACCAGGCT